TTTAAGCTATAATGTAATGAATTAAATAAATATATTTCTAGTATTAAACTCCACTTGCATTTATAGAATAAATTCCATATGACTTCTTTGACTCTATTTTATAATATATTCCAAGATTCAGTTTTCTAAACCTTGGTTTTTGATGTTGAAGCATTTTCACCACCCTCCTCATTGTATACTTATTGGACATAGGGTGAATGCATGCAATATTTTAGAATTTATTTACATCATTGTTTAATTTTCACAATTATTCTTAAGGTAAGTATTATTATTCCACTTTAGAAAAAGAATTTAGAATGGTCAAGTGTCCAAGTCACAATTTGTTTTACAACAGAGCAAGAATTTAAATATATGTCTATTTAACTTCTAAGTCTACAATTTTAATCATTTCATGTGCCCTTTACATTCAGTAGAAAGATTGGTCTGTAAATTATTTCTTAGTGCTCTATTTGTCAAATTTTATTATCAGGGTTATGCTAGTCTAATAAAACAAATTGAAATGCCTCCTACATTTTTCAATGTTATTAAATATTTTAAATAGTGTAGAATTAAAAATGTTCTCCATATCTGAGAATATACCTATTTTGTCATTCTAAAAATGTGTGTATTCCTGTTTTATTTCATTTTACTTTTATCAGAATTGTTTGATTTTACACATTTTATTGGTATTTTAAAAGGAAAAAAACCCTCAGTTTACATATCAATTGTAATGTTTCTTCCCCCCAATTTGTTTCAGTTTGAGAATTTTATTTTTAGCTTCTTGGATTAAATATTCTTTGGATTTATTCTCTTAGATGATAATCAAATGATCCTTTTTCTCGGTTAAATATGAAGCTATTTTTCTTAATTTATTATAAGCTTGAATATGTTTGCCATGTTTATAAGCATTTGTAGTTACCTTTTGGGAGTCTCTATACTCCTCTTTGTCCATTTTTCTTTTCTTTTGCCTTTTCCATTTCTCAATTGAGATCAAATAATTGTTACATATTTATGGGTAGGTACATAGTGTTGTTTTCTAATATATAAAATATAGCTGGCATGAATCAGAGTAATTTTTATATTGTATCACATAGACATTTATCATTTGTTATTAGGAATGTTCAATATCTTTCTTCTAGCTATTTGAAAACGGTATATAATCCATTGACTTAACTCTAGTCATCCTACAGTGCTAGAAACCTACTAAACTTTTCCTCCTATCTACTGGTAATTTTGTATTAATTTAGGCATATCTCTCCCTTCCCCTTTCACTTTTGTTTGCCCTACATATATATAAGCTATTAATATATGTTTAACAATAGTATTAATAATTAGTTACGTATATTTTAAATAATTTTAATAATATATTAAATTAATTCTTTATTAGGGGGAACCTATTTCATAGTATATTTAAAGATATGTTCCCTAGTTTCTTTTTTTTGGCTCTTAGCTGCCTTTTTGAAACCAAAATTTTCAACTTAATTTAATTTTTTTAATTGACAAATAATATTATACATATTCATGGGTACGATAGTGATGTTTTGTTACATATAAATATATAGGTGTATCAGCGTCAAGGTAATTAGAATAGTCATCATCTCAAATGTTTTATCATTTCTTTGTTGGGTTGAAAATTTTCAATATCTTCCTAGGCTATTTGAAACTGCTTCATATTAGTGTTAACTATAGCCCATCCTACAGTTGCCTGATGAGAACAACTAGAGACTTATTCCTCCTCTTACCTAGCTGTAATTTGATGTCAAGCTTAAAGTGGCCCTTCTTTATCCTGATACGTACAAACATATTTCTAAGCTTTTCTCATGTTGGGTTGTTTAAGTTGCATTTTTTAAATCTAACCTTGGAACTCTCTAGAGAGTATCTTAGGCGTCAAGGTATAAGATCAGAATCTAATTTTCTTTTGGTCAAATTTATCCTGTTTTCCCAGCACCATTCTTAATAAATATAATCAGACCCCCAGCATTAAAATTCACCTGTATATCATGCTTAGATTCAGCTGTCTGATCAGAAATCTCTATTCTTTCATAATCCTGTGTGGTGCACGAGTTATCTAAATACATATATATTATATGTATATGGGTAATCACTGCATCTTAAGTGCCCCTATAAATCAATCTATCGTAAATTTCTCTCCATATAAATAAATATTAGTGTACAGGATCAATTGGTCAAGTTTAAGAATTATCCAGTAATGAAAAAAAAATTTACTAGATTAATTAATAATGGTTCCCCGATGCGATAAATCTTGCTATATCTCATGTGTGTTTATTGTCTTCTCCCCTATTCAGAGCATGCTTTGGCCACAAATTTCATACTCATTTAGTCAATCTTTGTAGTTTTCTTCAGCCTAAGTCTGTTAAATTTTATTATATTTTTATGTCCCAGTGTTTGATTACAAACATCAATAGAACTTCTTCCTTAATAGGTTTAGTTTATAGATTACAGTTTTTCCTTTCTGTATATGGTTACAATTCATGCCTATGTTTGGTACATCCTTAATCATTTAATCTTTCTCTATATATCTGTATATTAGTCTCCATAGGCAATTCATATGACCATAATGCCCTCTATTAATCTTATTACCCTTTCTTTGTGACGTTAACATATACAATATTTACAGTGTATTTGTCTAGCTTCTCTCTGTTTCTATAAAATTCTAAATATATCTATGTATTATATTTCTATTGGATTTCAGTTTATTTTATTTCTTATATATCTATAAGAAAGCTTTCTATTTTGTCTACCAATGTCATGTATTTA